TCAGAAGGCTGAGGCAGGGGGATGGCAAGTTCAAGACTAGCCTTAGCAATTTAGCAAGGCACTAAGCAATTTAGCCATGCCCCGTCTCAAAGTAAGGAAAAAAAGGTAGGTAGGTAGGTAGGGGTGTGTGTGTGTGTGTGTGTGTGTGTGTGTGTGTGTGTCCCCAGGGTGGTTACTGAGAACACAGCTCATTGGTAAATATTTCAATCCTCAGTAAACCCCTCCTCAAAAAAGGACCCACCTTTCTTTTAATTAATTTTAATAATATCTGCAATTGACTTATTTCTAAATAAGGTCATGCTGTAAGGGGTAAGGACTTCAATGAATCTTTTTTGGGGGAAAACAATTCAGCCTGTAACAGTGGCAGATGGCAGAAAAGACCTAGAGAAAAACTGATTCCACAAATATGGGTCACCTATGTGGGATAGAAAGGAGGGCAAACAGGGTAGCCAAGCTTTTTTACGTCAATAATCTACATAGATTAATGCCTATAATATTATTGAAGAAAGACGTTTTGATTCTGAAATCTTATACCAAACTGTCATTTAAAGAATAATGGCACTGGCTCCATGGCGTACACTTGTAATCCCAGCAACTCTGGAAGAGAAGCAGGAGAATCACAAACCCAAAGCTAGTCTCAGCAACTCAGCGAGGCCCTAATCAACTTAGCAAGACCCTGTCTCAAAACAAAAAATAAAACAGGCTGAGGGTGTGGCTCAATAGTTGAGCACTTCTGGGTTTAATCCCCTGTATGGGGGGGGGGGGGGGGGGGCGCGAGGGAGTATAATGGCAAAACAGGTTCAACAGGCAGCTCAGTGACCTGCTAAGCATGTGCAAGGTCACAGGTTCTATACCCAGTTCTGCAAAACAACATAAGCATGTGTGCACACAACGCGCGAGCGCGCACACACACACACAAGCAAAAAATATTCTGAATATGAAAAGACTCATAATGTTGGCTACCACAAAGTATGTTTGCAGAAGTTACCACTAAGACAAGTTCAGCTAGACAACAGATCACGAGAGTAAAACAATAGACAGAAAGCAGTGAATCAATTTAACAGGAGAAATAAGAATAAATTAGGATAATGCTACAGAATAATATAAACCAAAATCTTAATGCTGACTGTAAAGAAAGAATTATATTTTTACAGTGCTGGGCATTGGTATGCTGATTACATATTGCTTAATATCTGAGCACTGATATATAATTTTATGCAGAAAACTCAAGTAACAGATGTAAGTAAAGTAAAAGACATAAACAAAAAATAAAAGGGGCTGGGGATGCAGCTCAGTGGTAGACTACCACTGGACACTGTGTTTAATACCAGGACCACCAAATAAAATAAAAAATTTAAAAACAGTTGCCTAAGAAGAGAGGATTATTCAATATAAATGTGTCATAATGCATGGGATCCTGGATTATAAAAGTTACATTGGTAAAAGCTAAGGAAATGGGGGGGGTGGCAATGGCACATGCTGTGATCCCAGCCACTGAGGAGGCTAAGGCAGAAAGAAGATCACAAGTTTGAGGCCAGCTTGGGCAAATTAGTGACTCTGCCTTAAAAAATAAAGTCTGGAGATGTAGCTTAGTGATAGAGCACCTACATGGGTTCAAATACATGGTACCACCAAACAAAAACAAACAACAACAACAAAAAAAACAAAAAAAACCCAAGGAATTGTGGTGAAAGAGAATGGGCATTAGTAAACAAGATGTTAATACTGGTTCATTAACTTTAATAAATGAACAAAACTGATGGCAGATGTTACTAATAAAGGAAAACAGCAGGGTAAATAGGAACTCTCAGTGCTTTCACATTTATGAAATTTATCGTAAAGTTTAAAACTTTTTAAAATAAAAGGTTAGCCGTGTGCATTGGCAATATCTCTAATCCCTGCATCTTAGGAGGCTGAGGCAGGAGCTTCACAGGTTTGAAGTGCCTGCAATTTAGTGAGACCCACAGCAACTTAATTAAACCCTGTCTAAAAATAAAAAGGACTAGGGATGTATCTCCATGGTGAAGTGCCCTTAGGTTCAATACCCAGCACAAAATAAACAAATAAACGAATAAAAATAAACAAGAACTTGATGAGAAAGTACAGTAAGAAACCACTTTGTACCCAGCTAGGACAAGTGAAATAGAAAACAAAGTGTTAAAGGAGATGTGAAAACTGAGCTACATGTCGAACCTGTTTTGCCATTTTATATATATATATATATAT